CTATACACCTGGATGGAGAGAGGCACTGTGAGCCTAAAGTTTTCTTGCCAAGGTTTCCCCGCAAGGCTCGATGCGGAGGCGAGCGTACTAAACATGACGCCACTGCGCCTCCACTTACCAGAAAAGGCGTTAATATTTTTATAATCATTATGCACTTACAGTTTCGGCCGTTTTTCAATTTGCAGGCATTGTATTCTCTTGTTACCTTGGTGTAGGTTTTGGATTAGGATCCATGATTGGTGGGTTCCTGGTAGACATCATTGGAGGGTCGTGGACGTTCCTGCTGAGTGGAGGAGTAACAGCGATCGTGCTCGTTCTATGTGTTCTTTCTTTGGCGATAACAAAACTGCTTAATCGAATGAAGAATAACAAGGTGGAAAGAGAAACAGAGGATTACGAGTCGAGTTAGACAAACTTCAACTGTTCATTGAATGAAATACTTCTCTCAAGTAATCCATCTACCTTTTTTGAGCGAAAGAGCAGTTCATTTGACAGTTCATTTTCTATTTGTCACATTTACAAACTGACCTTACTAGTAAGTTCTATAAGGTACTTAGTGGAAAAACTATATGAAAAACTCGATCAGTTACCGGAGTGTTGTCCTTTTGAACACTGCATCCAGGTACTATACTTATAATTTCAAGCAATTCTATGCCATAATGCTATGCAATAAATAAATAATAAAAAAGCCAGAAAAGACTTTGTTTTATTAAACAATTAGACTTCAATGCGACCTCGATTCAAACGCAAAGCAAGAACGTAACGGATTTTAAGTTTCATTAATTTGAATGAATACGTATATAATTATTATTATTACTGTACGATGATATTCATGTTTTATTAAACGGTTAGCTAGATACCCTACCCACACGCAAACCTGTTGCTTCAAACTAAATCGTGTTAAAATAAAGTAGTCTTGTTGTTGTTTTATATGGTAAATAAAAAATAAACTCTATTTGGCGGTTTTCAATATTGGGAAATATCACTCGAATATTCCCCCGTTTTAGCTTGGGCATATTTAGTCACGTGACGAGTTTAGACCAATCGCGCGCGAGTGAAAATATTTAATGGATTATAATGCGTAAGACAGTGGTCTCATTGAGTGAGCAAACACTGGTTTATCTAGANCCAAGTTTGAAGAACACTGCTCCAATATTTCTAGAGATATTCTTGATTCAGTGTTTTACTGTTCAAGTGGAACCACCTATGACGTCATCACTTTCCTGATTTGCGTAATACAAAAATGTAAATATCTCTAGAACGAAAAAAGATATTCCAAAAAGGGAAATGCCATTCTTCTTTACTTTGAAAAGCCTTTCAAATAGGCAGCAATTATTTTTTACTTCATAGGCACTTTAAACGATTAGACTTCAATGCGACCTCGATTCAAACGCAAAGCAAGAACGTAACGGATTTTAAGTTTCATTAATTTGAATGAAGACGTATATAATTATTATTATTACTGTGCGATGATATTTATGTTTTATTAAACGTTTAGCTAGAGACCCTACCCCACACGCAAACCTGTTGCTTCAAACGAAATCGTGTTTAAATAAAGTATTCTTGTTGTTGTTTTATATGGTAAATAAAAAATAGACTCTATTTGGCGCGAAAATATGTTCGGATATTTGTCCGCGGACATTATCTGTTCCGAGGAGCAAAGAGTTTTCCGGAAAACTGTGAGCTTTGAGGAACATATAATGTCCAAGTACAAACATCCGAGCAATTTTTCGCGCCAAATGAAGACTACTAATGCGTTTATCATCCTTCAAATATTTTTCGCAACACGCGCGGTTTTCAAAATTGGGAAATATCACTCGAATATTCCCCCGTTTTAGCTTGGGCATATTTAGTCACGTGACGATTTTAGACCAATCGCGCGCGAGTGAAAATATTTAATGGATTATAATGCGTAAGACAGTGGTCTCATTGAGTGAGCAAACACTGGTTTATCTAGACAGCTCCCCTGCCTCCTGCGAACAAAACGACACCCTGGGTTACCCTGGGATGCTAGTACGGTCTTGCACAAGCGATGTGGCAAACTGCGAGTTGAAAAAGTAGAGCGTTGCAACTGTAAATTTATTTACTGCTACAAAGTTCAAAGCGAGGAATGTATGGAAAAGTATTCTGAAATAACTTGTGATGCCTTGAAAGCAGTGGAGACAGCGAGAGGCTAATCTTCGAGCGCGAGCGACGTGAGTCGCGATATTTCGTCTTGTTTCACTTGCAGGGATGTGAATCAGAGCGTAAATATTTGGCGCGGAAAACATGATTGACATTTCTCACTTTTCATGTGCTCCACGCGCGATCGTCGCGAAAGCAGAAAATGATTTCCATCAAAACGTTTACGAGAATTGTTCCCTAACTCAAATGAATTCATTTTCGTACAGTGCAGTATGTAGTCAGATCTAGCTTGTACCGACAAGAATCCGAATTAACTAAAGAAGGCGGAATTAGTCGGGGAGAACTTTAATTCTGCAAAGCTCTCTTGATCAAATAACGTTGAGAATCGAAGTCGCAACGAAGGCAGAGAATAAAAGCGCTGTTCCCAAAAGTCCTTCATCGATCGACGACTGCTTTCAACATAGTAAAATGGCCGAGGCAAATTCGCTCCGATGCCCTTTCTTTGTTGAGAAGAAACTTGGTCATTCATTAAATCAACTAAAAGTGCAACAATTACACAAACTGCGGGAACGGCTCTGTTCTTCTTCCTGAAGGTTCAAACTTAATTCTCTCAAGCGATCCGGATCACGCGTCAGGTCGCGTTCGTAAGTAAACAAACACGTATTGGTCGGATAAATAGCCTTCCACTGCTTTTCCCTGTCCTTCTTTCAAAGACCTTAAATTAAGTTGGATAGACCATATTCAATTGCTTCCATAAAATCCATATCCTTTAAGTTTATCCGAGAACAAAAGCTAAATAAAAAATAATTTTATAGTACTTAAACTCAGCAGACATTTGCTCTGCGAGTTGTGTCATTGACCGCGCGCGGCGTCATGACGTATAGTCAGTTCTTGTTTATTCATTGATTAATGTGTATTTACGTCACCGGTGGAAAAATTCACGGTTAAATTTGGCGCGCTGCAAATGGGTAAAGTCCTTTCCAACGGCGAAACCAACAGGCCAGGGAAGAATTATAGGAAAGGACTTTTAGAAAGTCTACTTACATCAATAATATAAAGCAACCATTTTATGGTCAACTGACACCTGTCAAAACAAGGTATCTTCTGACCAGTATCACGAGATCATATCGCGGACTTATGTTTTGAGCTCATAGAGGTCACGTGTTTTTTGGAAGTTAACCGCTGACCAGGTACCGGCTTTTCTTTTGGATGACCGGCTCAAACCAGGTTAACTTACCGTAATCAGGGCAGGTTGTTCGGAACTGAGCCGGTTAACGCTAACCCAGGATTAAAAATTTACCAAGTATACATTTTTCTTGTATAAAAAATGTTTTTCATTTCGGTTGTTTGGAGTAGTTTGAGATTATTCATACTCAGAAGGCCAAACAATATAAAGAGAAAACCTCAGCGCCAAGTTAAAAATGAGCTCAAATCAAAATTCTCAGTTATTAGGTTATGAACAACCGGCCCAGGAGCTCCGCTTTTAGGCTTGGCTAAATCTATGTATATATTAAAAATATGAAGCCTTACTGTTATAACTCGAAATCGAAATTAACGAATAGTTTAACTTTCTTTTATTCGCAGTGTTGATTTTCTAAAAGGAATACAAAACATATCTTCAGTCGGGTTTTCTAGTTACAGCAACCACGGATGACAGTTTTGGAGAACTCAAGAAAACTGTAAACACTCACCGACATTCGCCGGCTCGTGTTCCCACATTTCTTGTTCTCCCAAACTTCCACTCGCGTTTCTCTAACTCTATAGGCACATGGAAAATGCTTTCTAATTCTTAAACGTGTAATATTCGGCTTACTGCTTATTAGTTTACTCATTGTTTATTTAACTGTATCGGTAACTCCGTGTAGAAATTGAAACACTGAAATAAAGTTGCTGTTGTTGTCGATTTTGTAGTAGTAGTTGTTGTTGTTGTTGTTGTTTACATAAGTTGGAGTTTCTTTGATATATATATTTTATTGATTAGTTTTCAATTTGAAAAGTAAAATTGACCATATATATAATTGCCTTTTTCCGCTGCCTCTCAGACTAGTGCAGTCACTTAAATTAATTGAATTTCAATACGTTTCTCTCGATCCCACACCCTCTTCTCCTTGCCTGTTTTTGTTTCACAGTGTTTTTCTTTCACAGTGCATGGTTTCTTGACATTAACATGTGCGTTAATAAAGAGGAAGAAATAAATAAATAACAATGAATGAGAAAGAAGAAAGTGTTGTCCTCGCTTGATCTTTTAAAGGTAAAAACAGGTTTCCTTCTGGGGTCGTGTATCTAGCTAAACGTTTAATAAAACATAAATATGAACAGTAATGAAGCGCGAGGCCGATTTAAATTACGAGCACGATTACTCCCTATATTATACGACACGAGGTCCAATTACTAATTAATCGTATCTATAACAAATTTCGAAATAAAAAAAGGCTTTAGAGAACCTCTTTTGAGCGAAAAAATCAGTAACACTTTCCATAAGTTTTAAAAACTGTAGGAACAAAGCCATTAAAGCGCGCGTATTTAACGTCCAAATCACCCAATTACAAAAAGTTCAAATTGGATACCTGTAATTGGACACCCATGTGATCGCGCGCCGATTACGTGACAGATAGGCGCGCGGAGAACCAATCACAATGAAGAATTTTGTTATAGATACGATTAGTTTGAGCACTCTGGTAACGGCTTAGATACTACCACATGTGTAGTATTTGGGGCGGCTTTTTAAGCTTAGCCTCCATCCTAGTCTTCAGCACTGCACTGATGAGGCCCAGAAGGCCGAAACAGTACTGCCTGCAGTTAGATACGATTATAATTACATACGTATTCATTAGTGAAACTTAAAATCCGTTACGTTCTTGCCTTGCGTTTGAATCGAGGTCGCATTGAAGTCTAATTGTTTAATAAAAAAACGTCTTTTCTAGCTTTTTATTATTTATTTATAGCACAGAATTATGGCATAGAATTTCTTGAAATTATTAGTATAATACCTGGATGCAGTGTTCCAAAATACAGCACCCTGGTAACTGATCGAGTTTTTCATATAGTTTTTCCACTAAGTACCTTATAGAACTTACTAGTAAGGTCAGTTTGTAAATGTGAAAAATAGACGATGAACTGTCAAATGAACTGCTCTTTCGCTCAAAAAAGGTAGATGGATTACTTGAGAGAAGTATTTCATTCAATGAACAGTTGAAGTTTGTNAATGGAGTCTTCAGCTAGGTTTCCAGAGATAGATGCTACTGATTTACTCGAGATGAGGGAGAATAATCAGAACAAGAACACTCAAAGAAGCAAAAAACGTGTGTTAAAGTGTTTGACCTGTGACGTGCTGAGCAAAGCGAAGTGAGAAATACTGTACTTTAGAAGATAAAGTATTTGCCTTGTCCATCTGTTTTTGGATCCTATATAATTAATAGGTAATAGGACTAAATGCTTGTTCAAATTGGATACCTGTAATTGGACACCCATATGATCGCGCGTCGATTACGTGACAAAGAGGCGCGCAGAGAACCAATCACCAAGAATTTTGTTATAGATACGATTATAATTACATACGTATTCATTAGTGAAACGTAAAATCCGTTGCGTGCTTGCCTTGCGTTTGAATCAAGGTCGCATTGAAGTCTAATTGTTTAATAAAAAAACGTCTTTTCTAGCTTTCTTATTATTTATTTATAACATATATTTATGGCATAGTGTTGCTTGAAATTATTAGTATAATACCTGCATACAGTGTTCCAAAGTACAGCACCCCGGTAACTGATCGAGTTTTTCATATAGTTTTTCCACTAAACACCTTATAGAACTTACTAGTAAGGTCAGTTTGTAAATGTGAAAAAATAGATGATGAACTGTCAAATGAACTGCTCTTTCATCAAAAAAGGTAGATGGATTACGTGAGAGAAGTACATATTTTATTCAATGAACAGTTGAAGTTTGTCTAACTCGACTCGTAATCCTCTGTTTCTCTTTCCACCTTGTTATTCTTCATTCGATTAAGCAGTTTTGTTGTCGCCAAAGAAAGAACACATAGAACGAGCACGATCGCTGTTACTCCTCCACTCAGCAGGAACGTCCACGACCCTCCAATGATGTCTACCAGGAACCCACCAATCATGGATCCTAATCCAAAACCTACACCAAGGTAACAAGAGAATACAATGCCTGCAAATTGAAAAACGGCCGAAACTGTAAGTGCATAATGATTATAAAAATATTAACGCCTTTTCTGGTAAGTGGAGGCGCAGTGGCGTCATGTTTAGTACGCTCGCCTCCGCATCGAGCCTTGCGGGGAAACCTTGGCAAGAAAACTTTAGGCTCACAGTGCCTCTCTCCATCCAGGTGTATAG